GATAGTAATAAATCAGTAAATCAGGCAGACTAAAGTCTCACACGATAGCCAAGTAATTTATACTCTGAGAGTTGAGTAGGGTCAATGAGTAAAGAGTACTGTCACAAGGACAAGCTGCACATGGTGGGGAAGCATGTGGCAGAACACACATGGCAAAAACATGCTTTTCCATAGAGGCAAATAAGTAACAATTCCCAGTTGTAATGGATAATCTGAACTGAACTCACTCTTATCGGCCACACCTGGAAGGAGCACAAGAACACATCCCAAGAACAATTTTGTGCTTTTGAAGAAACTGAAGTCACAAGACTCTTGTCTTGGAGTTTTCTCACAAGCGCTCAGAATTCTTCTCACATGACTCTGTTCTTGGACTGTGTCCAAGCATATAGGTATCTCTCTTCATGGACATTCAACTTGTTAAAGTCAGCTCTGAGACTTGTGGTCTTTAAGAGGTGTCTGTACTATATTTATTGCTTTTCTTGTTAGTGTGTCCAAATATTTGACAAGAAGAGACCCAAGAAATAAAGGGTTTGGTTTGACTTACAGTTCAAGGAGAGACAGTCTATTATAGCCTGTGTGTTCTAGTTAGCCTCTCTGTTGCTGTGATACACACCATGACCAAAACATCTTGGGGAAGAAGGGGTCTAATTTGACTTTCCTGCTACAGTCCATCATTGAGGGAAGCTGAGTCAGGAACTGAAGCAGAGACCATGGAGGAACTCTGTTCACTGCCTTGCCCAGAACACTGCCCAGAACCCCCTGCTCAGGGACACAGACTTGTCCACAGGCTTATCTGATGGAGGCAGTTCCTCAGCTGAGGCTCCCTCTTCCCAAATGTGTAGCACGAATTCTAGTTGGTATTAATAAATAAAACCTGGAGTCAGATATTAGGGGGTAAAAGCTGAGGGATCAGAGAAGCAGTGTGGCCAGCCACCAGAGAGACCTTTTACCTCTACCAATGCTCAGACTAAAAAGACGATTCTATCCTCAAACTGTCTCTTCAGACTTTGTCCTCTGACTGCAGGGGTGATCCTCAGACTGCACTGAATTCCTGGCTCCTTCCACTTTATATTCCTCTCTCCACCCAGCCAAATCACTTCTGTTTCTACCTCCCCAGTGCCTTGATTAAATGTGTGGGATCCCAAGTGCTGGGATCACCTTTGTGTGAACTCTGTTTCTCTTTTAGACAGACTCAATCTTCTGTAGCCCAGGTTGGCCTTGAACTAACAGAGATCCCTTGCCTCTGTCTCCAAGTCCTGGGATTAAAGGTGTGAGCCACCACTCCATGGCTTCTAGTGGTTTACCTCTGCACTCTGATCTTCAGGCAGACTTTATTAATTAAAACATAAAATATCACTACACAAATGAATCTAGCTTATGTTAAGTTGACCAAAACTACAAAACAATAGCCCCTAAAAAAAAAATGCAATAGCCAGCATTGTAGAGAAGGCAAAGCTAATCACATTATGTCTGCAGGGAGAGATGCAAGTTGTCACCTGTGGTATAGTTTAACTATGTAAAGATGTGTTTCAGTTGTTTATGGGGCAGAATGTTACTCTATGTGAAGGTGTGTTACATTTTTTTCTGCTGCCTTTGTTAATGATGTAAAGATGTGCTACATTTGTTTCACCTTGCCTGCCTAAGGCACATGATTGATCTAATAGGTAGCTAAGAAGCAGAGAGTAATTGTTATGGTAAAAGTAAAATGCTGCAAGTCCCCAGTGGGCAGTGGGCCACAAGACTAAGGCGGCGGGCCACAAAGGCAGCCAGTCCCACGAGGAGCCACAGCTGCAGCAGGTGAGAGACAAGACAGAAGGGGGTCTCACACCATGTAGAGTGAGGTTGGATATTTATTTAGTGGGTTATGGGAGGGAAGAGAAAATGAAAATGGGAAAGGGGATTTAAAAAAAAAAGAAAATGGGAAAGGGGAAAAGGGGGAAAGAGGAGAGAAAAAGAGGGAGAGAGAGGGGGAGAAGTGTGCAGAAGAGAGAAAGGCAGAAGCTGCCTCTTAGGGAGAAAGCTGGAAAGGAAGAGACTCAGGCTGGAAGGAAGATCTGCTTGCCTCAGTGGAGGTGGGGGAGTTTGTCTCTTAAAGGAACAGGACACAGATCATTACAGTAATGAATTCATGCTTGATAGAGCTCAGTAACTTTTCTCTGCTTTATACAGTCCAGGATTCCCTGCCATAGAACCAGGCTATCCATACTAGATAGGTCTTCAATCAGAATTCTCATCCAGGCATGCTCAGAGGTCCATCCCCAGTAAGCCTAGATCTTATCAAACTGATAATTAACACTAATCTTCACATGGTTTTGTGCACCAATGTTAACCAGTGTATCCACAGGCAACACCAAGCTAAAGGCTGAATACTTGCAGGCACTGTACTTGTGCTCCCACAGAGCCACTTGGAGTCACCCCCTCACCTATGGGCCTCATGAGTACCTTGGATTTTCTTGCAAACATCCTTTCTGGCTGATCTTGGGGACAGGGTGGAGGTGTAGGCTGCTACCAGACACCCAAACAGATACTTTTCTGCTTTTTTAGTCAAAAGTCAGCAGAGGCTGGGCTTAGAGCCCCTCAGGGAACACTCCAGGGCCCCTCCTTAAGCCTCCCAGGACAGTTCTGGCTAGATTCTGCCTAGGACCCAAGGGCGCTCCACCCTTCCTGTAGGCCTGCCTCTGTCCACTCCATAAAAGAGTAGAGAAGAAGTCACAGCCTTTTCTTTGTACATAGCCTGCTAAACCTGCACTTCCTGTCAGCTCTTCCCCTGTACGGAAGCTGCTTAGTTCTGTGGACAAAACAATAAAAGCTGATGTCTCAGTCACGTGGCTCATGAGTGAAGTGACAGCATTTGATCACCGCAGATTGTAGGGCAGTCTAGACCATAGGGTGAGGCCATCTCAAAAACAGAACAAGCCAAGAAAACATCAACCTGTCTTTGCCACGAGGAGCAGCAGGGTTCAAGACCAACTGGCATCTCCTGGTTGTCTCTCCAGGTTCCCCTGAGTCTGTCTCCTCTTTCCTCACCTCTATCATCTGCTCTTCCCCCTTCCTCTGTCCAAGCCCTAACCTTGCAAGTAAGCCTCTCTAGACTTTCAGAGACTAGCCCCTCCCACCCCAGAACTGGGAAGGACGTGAAGGAGCAGAGCTTGACTGAATAATATTAGTAACACATTCCTTTCATCCTTTTCTAAGAAAGGGCATCACAGACTGAAAGCTGGACTATACATTGTATCATTCATCTTCTTTCCACTAAACCACACTAGGGTTCTTGTTGAGTATTTTGGTGTTGGTGCTGGGATTGACTCCAGGGCCTCTGGCATGCACTGTACCCCTGTGCATCACTGTTGGATTGCCATATTCTCACATGGGCAAACAGGTAAATGCAGACGCCAAAACTGTGTTTGCTCTTTGTGCTGGCAAGTAATACATTTGTTTCAAGATACCAAGGCTATGGTTTCTCTATTTGCAGAGAACCAGTTTATACGATTCAGCTAGATTTGCAACTTCACTTCGAGGAAGTCTGAATGGATGTACTTTGCTTGGAGGGTCTGGAGGCAGTCCCCAGGGAAAACCCGTGCACTGTGACCAGGTGAGGTCCTACAGAGGAGCCTCAGCATTAAGCCTGGAGTCCTCCCTGGGCCTGGGCTCCTCATTCCTGGTTACCATCTAATATTCCCACCCCTCTCCCGTTAACCTGTTCCTCTTTGGTTCCTCACAATTGCAGGGGCAAAATGACCGGCAATGTCCGGAAGGTGGCGCTAGGCGCATGGAGACCGCATCGGCAGCATCGTGAACCTGCGCGGAAGCTTCCTGAGATTTCTGACATCTGATGCATCCACTCCAGGCGAAATCACTCCACCAGTCCCTCAGAAGAGGACCCTCAGGAGGCCGGACGATGTGCAGATGGGGCGGACTTACCTTCTGGGCCAAGAAGACCCGAAGCAGGTCCCAGAGTTTCCGGGGTACACACTCCTGGAGGTGTCCGCTGCTGGGATGAAACCAAACTCATAGAGCGAAGTGCTCCTTAGAAATCAGATGACGTTGGTACTGGTTGCTCAACCATTCCATTCAAGTTCTACAACAGACGTTGAGGTTGAAGGACTGCCTCCCTCCCCCGCCCCCCCCCTTTTTTTTTTTATCACTGCAACTGATTAACAGGAGAACTTCAAATACTGGGGTCCATGGCCGCGGTTACCATACAGGACTCCAAGGGAAGGGAAAGAATATTCTTCTGCCACCTAGGCACCCTATCCCTTTCTCAGAACACCTGCCCACCTAATTCTCGCCATCCTAACTCCAACCATCGTCACGAGGAAACTCTAAAGCACACACACAGACACTGCTGCCCCACACTAACGCCCCATCGTTGGTCTATACCAACCCTAAGACTAGTGTGTGAACACCTTAGCTTCCTCCTATTCTCGGGATGACATGAGAGACAATATGACCCAAACAGGACTGCTCCTGGCTGTGGACTATACCTGCCACGGGGACAAGACATTCCAGCTAAATGAGTGAGTAGGAGGGACAGGGACTGAGAGTGCACACTCTGTGACCCTCGGGAGTTTTTAACCAGTGGGAAGGGTGAGTCCAACCCCAGGCAAAGGCAGCCGGTCTAAAGGGTGATTTCCGACTGGAGGCTAAGGGCAGCACCGCCTCTTCCTTGTCTCACTTAGAGCTGTGACTATTTGCAGACGACCCCTGAGATCTGGACTGTTGACCATCCCTTAGAGAGCGAGCTGGTGGGAAAAGACGTCACCTGAGATTTCAGAGGGTCCCTCCTGTACCTTCCATTTGAATTTAATTCTTCCCTAATTGCATATAGTAGCCTAGGGCTCTTGGAGGTGCTAGCATCCAAAGGCGGGGGAGGGTTAACTGAGGGGGACTCCATCTACGCGTCTATGGGGAAACGGTCATTCCTGTTGAAGACTTTCTAGTGTGGCCGCTTTGGGTTTCCCTAGAAGCCTGTAAGAACCCCTGCACCCGTGCCTTTTAAACCCGCTGCTTCCCCAGGTTGAACTTTGGTAGAATACTGTGGTTTGTCCTTGGGACTTTAAAAAGAGAGGATAGACTGACTCTATTTACCTCTCGTGTGGAAAGAATTCTCACATTAGTGCCCCTGTGCCTACCTGTGGGCTTCATCTTTCCTGTCCCCTAAAGGCTTTCATCATCAGTGCCATCATCATCATCAACATCAGCATCATTATCTCTTCCTTAGCACCTGCCACGAGCTGTGTGCCGCGCTGTGTATTGACCTCTCTGTGTTACATAAACAGACTTACCCAATATCCTTAACAGTCCTGTGCAGTAGGCGCTAACGTCATCCTTGCTGTTTTACGGTGCTGGGGATCAAATCCAGAGCCTCATGTGTATTAAATTAGACCAGTGCTATACCAAGTTTCATTCCAGCTATCATCTCTGTTTTAAACATCAGCTGCTTTGGGGGCCCGCCTCTTCCATATGTATCCTTATTCTCCATCAATTTCCCGCTTTTCTCTTATATTTTTAAAATCCATACCCAAGCTCTCTCTGTATGGCATATTTGTCTGTCCCTTACCTGCTGCGGTCTCCCACCTGCCGTAAATCATAACAGTATGTATGTATGTATGTATGTATGTATGCATGTATGCATGTATGTGCATCTGCGTGGGGGTATGAGCATGTGAGTGCAGGTTCTGTGGAGGGCAGAAAAGGTAGCTGAGTCACCTAGAGCTGGAGTTACAGGTGACCATAAGCTGTCTCATGGGTGTGCTGGGAACTGAACTTGGAAGAGTGTATGTGCTCTTTAATGCTGAGCAATTTTTCCTGGTCCCGCCACCTTTCTCTTAAAGGTTCTGTCTCTTCCTCTTATCTAGCTCCTCTTGCCAAAAACAAATACAATCTTGTCTTAGTGTTCTATTGCTATAAAAAGACACGATGACCAAGGTGACTCATGAATGAGGGCATTTAGTTGGGAGTTTACTTACAGTTTTGGAAGGTTAGTTGTTTATCATCATGATGGGAAGCAGGCAGGCATAGCACTGGAAGTGGGGCTGAGAGCTTTACATCCTGATCTGCAGGCTGTTAACAGGAAGAGAAAGAGACATTGGGCCTGGCATAGGCTTCTGAAGACTCAATCCCTACTCTGGGTGGCACATCTCCTCCAAGCTGCTGAACAGGGCCACACCCCTCCTTCCAAACAACTTGTCAACTGGGGCCTAGGCATGCGAATAAATGAGCCTAGGCTGTCTCATTCAGGCCACCACACCTGCGGTGCTGGCGGTCTATGTCAGCTTGACACAAGCTGGAGTTATCTGAATGGAGGGAACCTCAATGGAGAAAATGCCTCCAAAATTCCAGCTGTAAGGCATTTTCTTAACTAGTGATTGATGGGGTAGGGCCCAGTCCATTATGGGTGGTGCCATCCCTGGGCTTTCTATAAGAAAGAAGGCCGAGCAAGCCATGAGAGCAAGTCAGTAAGGAGCACCCCTCCATGGCATGATCCTCTGCATCAGCTCCTGTCCCAGGTTCCTGCCCTGTTTGAGTTCCTGTCCTGACTTCCTTTGATGATGAATAGTGATATGGAAGTGTCAACTGAATTAATACTTTCTTCTCCAACTTACTTTTTGGTCATGGTGTTTCATTGAGGCAACAGAAACCCTAAGACACCTTCCTTACCCCAAGACCAACTCCATTGACCTAACCACTAAAGCCCACATTTCTCCTTCTACCAACTTACTGTTAGTCCTTCTTAAGACTACGTTAGAAATCAAGAAGGAAATTATTCAAGCCATATACATATATGTATATATGTATTATTCAAGCCATATACATATATGTATATGTGTATTATTCACGACATAGACATATATGTATTAAATGTATTAAATGTCAATAAAGTCAAAGCAGAGATGGATAACTAGGCCCTCTACAACCTTCTCTTCCTTGTCTGCAGCTTGGCCATGCCCCTCCCTTGCAATCAAGCTTCCATGTCCACCCTCAGAGGTCACAGAACCAGTGGTTACTATCCGAGCTCAGCTCCCTCACAGGAAACATGGCCTCACTAATGTTCTCTCCTCCTCCAGCACCTCTAGATGCCCTCAGTGGCTCTGTCTGTATGCATCTTGCTCAGACAGTTATTTCTGCCCAGGATGCTTTCCTCTCCATCTCTGGTCTCTGCCTGACTCCCTGACATGACCTAGCTCCATTATCACCTCCCCTGCATGGTCTCCCTTCTACCACCTCAGTGCCCACAAAGCACTTTGGGCTCAATGTCTGATGTGCTAGTCTCAGGCTGGGGCCCTGTGGTAGTTACTGCTAATCTTAAACTTCACTATCTGAGTTGTGAGAAACAGTCACTCAGGACTTACTTCAAGTACTTGGGATTGTGTAATAGGAACTTTACATTGAACAGTTTGCCTACTTCTAGAAACAGAAAACACGAATATGTCTCTGACCATTGATTCCTTTTTCTATTGCTTTTGGGGTGTATGGTGGTGGGGGTGCCATGGTGCATGCATGAAGGTCATAGGACAACTTCTATCCTCACATGGGATCTTGTAGAAGGAACAGCAGGTTGCGTTCCTGCCACCTGGCTCCTGGCTGCCTGGCTAGCGTATGCCCTGAAATAGCAACACACAAATTGTATTCATTTAAACACTGCCTGGCCCATTAGTTTCAGCATCTTATTGGCTTATTCTCACATCTTGATTAACCCATTTCTATTAATGTTTGTAGCACCACAAGGTGGTGGCTTACCGGGAAGATTCTAGCCTATGTCCATCTTAGGTCGGAGCTTCATGGCATTTGCCTCACTGCCTTCTTCCCAGCATTCTGTTCTGTCTACTCTACCTACCTAAGGGCTGGCCTATCAAAAGGCCAAGACGGTTTCTTTATTAACCAATGAAATTAACACATAGACAGATAACCCTCCTACATCAGGATCTGGTGCTTGAACTCATATCACCAGGCTTGCCTATAAAGTGCCTTTACCCACTGAACAATCTTACCAGGTCCCTTTTGACCATTGTTTCTAAGCAAGCATGCCAGAGTTGTGCTGTCCTTTTTTGAAAGAGATTGTGAATTTACACTAGTGTGTGTATGTGTGTGTGTGTGTTGTATAGTAATTTCCTGTGAGATAAAACATTCCCTCTTTGGTCTGGAGAGATGGTTCAGTAGTTGAGAGCACTGCTGGCTCTTCAGAAGGCCTGGATTCAATTCCCAGGACCCTCATGGTCTGTAACTCCATTTCCAGGGCTTCTGATGCCCTCTTCTGGCCTCTGTAGGCACTCCACTCTTGTGGCACATACCTGCACAAAAGAAAAAAAATAAAACTTTTAAATGCCATTTTGGAGGTATGCTCTTTAAGACTTGGGATATTCTTTTTTTTTTTTTTTTTTTTTTTGGTTTTT